TTAGCCAGCAAGACCAAAAAACAGATATTTGTCAGCTACAATCTTCAAAACACAGACAGCAATTTCACCTTACTCATAGAAAACAGGATCAAAGAAGAAATGATGGCTTTTCCAGAGAAGTTCTGATTTTGCATCATTGTAAAATAACCTGAAGTTTTTGTTTTAGAAAAACTGATTGCAATTTTCACACTGACATTAAGTTAGTATATTTGTTTTGTATTGTTTTGATTGAATTTGCAGTTGTTATTAAATATAGATGGACCTAAATACACTTGGACCTGGAGTTTATTTTTTCAATTTGCTACCCTGTTAAGTAGAGGATAGGTGACTAGAGTAGAAAATATGCTGAACTTCATGTATCAACTTCATTGTAAAGTGCGTGCAGTGTCTGTTCTCTTTTCAGTACTGGGATCTGCTGGGAAATCAGTTCCAAATTCCAGCTGTACAATTAATCTACTATGTACTAGTATTGAACATAGTATAGCAGCTTTTAGTGTTCAAGTAAAAAACCCCCACGTTTTTGTATTGTAAAGCAGTAACATAAAATGGATGTTGCTTTACTCCTTTCAGCCCTTCTTGGTTGTAGTACTAGTGCTAAACACTGAATTTCCTTCCATCTCTTGAACACTAGAAGGGTTTCATGAAGGGTTATCTGTACATCCCTGAGAGCTATGTAGAAGGAAAAAGCACAGCTTGAATTTTGGAGCAATAGATAAATCTGTCAGGCTGCTAGACAAGCATCATGTGTGTAAACTGAGCATACTTGTTAGAAAAATCAGAGCAGTCGCTACCATCACAACTGCAAAGCATCCTGCTGCTACGTCTCTGAACTTACTTTCAGGTAAGATGGATATCCTTTTAAAGGCAGATTCATGGGCCATTTTGTTCAGTGAGAAGGGCAACTAGAAGCTAACCATACCAAAACGCCCAAACCAGCCATAGAGCCAATGGCACGGTGACCGTGGGCAGCTGTCTGTAGTACGTGCTGTGCCACACCACCTATTATTCACTGCAATTTGGAACAACATGGAGCATAGCAACCTGACAAGTGAGTCCAAGTTATTTCTTTTTCATTGCAAGTAGAGCCCTGACTCAGACATAAGCTTCTGATATGAACAAAACCTACTAGTGCTGCTGCTAGACAGCTGTCCTAACAACTGGCAGAAAACTGATGGACTTACCTTGCTGTGGTGCCATAATCAGCAATTAAAACCTGTAACCAAGAGGCTGCTGATGTAGAAGGTGCAACCCCTGATGGGTCTCTTATCTGAAGGGGTATGAACACCTAGTGGTTTGATGTGGGCACAGAGGGCCTTTCCTTACCTGGTGGGAACAGCTGCTGGTCCTTGGCTGCTGTTCAAGACCAGAATAGCACAAAACAACTGTTGGAGGGTATTTTCTTTTTAATTTACACTAGCCAGGAAACAAAGTCAACTATTCTGTGATTGAGGATAACAGATAATTAGTTGCAAATCAATGTGCTGATTTAGTTAGCCTGACTTACAATCAGCTCATTCTGTTTGTAGTGGAGGGTGGGACTGTTTGCTGATGTAGCTGCTGCTGGGCTGTTTCAGAAGTCACTGTGAGGGAGCCAGACCAAGGAGAGCAAACTGATGGGACAACATCATTTTATTCTGTATATTTACATACAAAGTTCTTTTCAGTAGGTACAACAGATGTAACATCATGCAGACATTTAGCTTGTAAGACTGTTTTCAGTACTTGATTTAAGCTTGTGCTATGAGGAAGCACCACCAGACTATTCATGATCAAAACATACAGTAACACGATTCTTTAAAACTTCATCAGAAACTGAAATGGGGAGGGAAGTCTCACCCACTAGACATAACACACCATACTCCTTTCCTGAAACATTTTACACAATACATTTAAAATGAGGTTTGTAAGTTTATTTTTCTTAAAAAAAAAAAAAAAAAAGTTACAGCAGGGGAGATCATCTCCCCACTTAATAGTGTTGTCTTATGTGCCAGCTAGAGGCGCAACTTGACTTGACATTCACAGAGTTCAGTTAATGGCACTTCTGCTTCCAGTTTGGTGACCTTTAATGTTTGGCTCCAGGAAGTGGCAACAGTTATGTAAAATACTTCCATTAAAAAAAAAAAAAAAAAAAGCCTGCTCAACAAAATCAAAAAGCAAATCACACAACCCCCCTTCTGAGTGGCCACAAAACACTGTCAAACAGGCGACTGCCATTATCCATTTGCAGCGTGTCTGGCAACATAAGCAGTACTGAAACCTTGAAAGGGGACAAAACCCCCAAGATCAAGCACGATGTCACTTTCACATTTTTGTTTAAACTTATGAAGATGGAAGGAAGCCCTTACATGGTAAACCCAAAGAAAAATCCACTGATGGGCTTAGAGGTTACGGAAGGTTCACAGAAAAACGCCAAAATGGACAGGACAGCTTTGACTGCTTCCCCTGTTGTGGTGGCGAGAAAGAGCCACCTGAGAAAAGCCTTTCCTGGTGACGGCTGTGGCCGAGGAGCCGATGGTGCGGCAGACTGGGACCCCAGCAGAGAGGCCTGTCTGGCTGCAGGATGAGGCAGAGCAGGGTAAGCATCTTCTGCCCTGCTGCATCACCTGGTACCTGACTCCTCCACACAAGATATGCTTAGCAAAAGCTTTCCAACTCTGTGGGCGTGTGTGAGAAAATATAATAATCACAGAGGTGTTAATCTTTTCAGGAAAAGGAGCAAAACTGAAGCTGCCAAGGCAGGAAATCCATTTGTGTTTTATTGTCATGACAGAGGCAGAGGGCCAGACCAACTCGAGAAGTTGGGGCTCCCTACATTGCAGAAGATCAGTACCGACTACCTGGTTTCAGGCAAAAAAAAAACCCCAAAAAGCAGCAAATCAAGTCAATTTCGTAAGAATTTTTAAAAAATTAAATTGCTGCATGTTCCTGTCACCTAGTTTGTTTACTACATAAATGTTGATATTTTTAGACAACCATTCTCTTCCCTGGGCCCATCTGTCATCAGAGCGCAACTGCCAGAATAGGAAACGATGAAGCGCTGTGAACAACAGCGGTGAGCACACCACGACTGCTGACAGTGCTGGAAGCAGCCGGTTTTATAGGCTTCTGGATGGTCTACAAGAGCCGTACCGTAGCTTGAGCACACAGGCACAGAGACCACAAACGAAGGAGCTGCTGGCTCTATGGCACGATGGATGGCAGGACGCTGCTCTCGGCCTCTGCGCTCGCACCTTCTCCACTTTCAGGCTGTTTTTCTCTTCCCTTAAGACTTGTTTTGCTTCTTCAATTTTTCGTTGTGAACCCACTTTTTTCCCCTGCCCCCCCAATGTATGTGGCTTGCAACAAGCATCTTGCATCGAAGGCAAAAGGTATTGCACAAATTTGGCAGGTGAATACTGCATGAATGGGCAAGGCCTGGGTTTTTTCCCCAGGTGAACACAGACTGCAGAATTCTGAGCGCAGAACAAAGAGAGAAGCAGCTGTGCTCAAGCTTCACAATAAAACTTGAGTGTAAGGAAGGTTGGGCTCTCGCTGTCACAGCAAGTCTAGCAAAGGTGAAAAAAACCCAGTAGTGTATCTTTGGGCAAAACTACCATCAACTGGTCCAGTGTTTCTTATCAGGCTCAAGAAGAACCCAAATGTCCACATCCTCCGTATAAAAATTAGCAGCTTTAGGACGACATTGTTACTCTGAACACAACAATCTCTGTCGCTTCTGCAGGTCTACCTGTCCCCTTGCACTCATCAGCATCTGAGGCTGCACGATGTACTGCATCGCCTGCTGGGGAGCACGTATCTGTGATTTATTTGGGACTGTAAGAGGACATTGGCAGCCTAATGGAGGATGGGAATTGCTAGGTACAGTAGTTAATCGACAATATATACAGCAAAGGAGGAATGGGGAGGGAAGTTAGAGGAGGAAAGTGCAAATGAGCGCTTTCCATGCGTACGAAAGCGAGATGCACATCAAACAAAGTGGCAATCATATGGACACTCAATACAACATCGACATCCTGCTGCTCTGTTTGTTTGAATGTCTGCACTATCGAGCAATCACAAATGGATGGTCTGAGTGAGAAAGGAGAACAGGGAGGGAGAGCAGGGATGTTAACTACAATGCAAGAAAGCTATTTGTTTACAAGGTCCTTGCACTGAACTAGATCCTCACGATATTCGCACAGTGAGAACTAAAAGCCTGTGGCCAAAGGAAACAGTTGGTTTCGGGGCTGGAGGAGAGAAGTCAAGTGGCCACTATCAAAGTGCCAGCTGCACACTAGGAGACAAACTGGGTGTTCACTTTGCTTAGTCTAGAGTATGATCGATCCAATTTAAGTAAACTTGTTCTTTTTGCAGTTGGGGAAGGGGGGAAATCCGGGTGAGTTCACTGTATATTCTTGAGTCAGAACCAGAGAACATCTCCAAAAGCCCCAAGACAGGCAACAGCAGACCATAAGTTGTTATTCACAGGCTATCAATTCATTCCTTTCCAATAGTCACTTAAGCATTTTGTCCACTTAAATTGAAAACCCAAACCCTGGTTCTAAAAACAGGGAAGGCAATGCCAGGACACTCATTTTGCAGGAGCGGGAATCCGAGCTGCGCTGCCTTTTGGAATAAAAGTACAGATCGCAGACCATTCTCCTTACTTTTTGTCCCTGCTGGTCTATGCTTTTCTCCTGCAGCAGTCAGTCAGAGATTCTGGGCCTCCTTAAAGCCATTCTTGGGAAAACTAATTTTTGCATCATTGGTCCAATCATTTACATCATCTACATTACTATTAAAGACCAGTGGGAACCATCGAAAATAGATTAGTGGACTCTTAAAACACAGAAGGCTGATTCTCATTGAAAAAACAGCTTGTATGGGTAGGATTTTCTTCACTGCATTTGGTGAAAAAAACTGTACTAATTTAGAAAGTAACTTTTAAGTACACATGGGCTATAAAAACAAACATAAGCTGCCTAAAATGCAGTCAGAGTTTGAGTCACAACAGGTTTTGCTTTTTTTTTGTGTGTGTGTATACAAACACAGCAGGCAACCTGGGCGCTTGGACTTCCTAGACAGGCAGAAGAATCTTGCACAAATCTAAATTTCAGTCAATTCAACTTTGCAGTAGATCTCTCTTTCCTTTAAAGAAACACAAGAACAAAACAGAAAACAACCCCCCCCATGGTTTCTTTCTTGGAATGGCTGCACCTCTTATTATAAGATGGCTTCATTTTTGTGATCTATGAAAGGAAAAGGAAATAAAGTGCTTCTTGAGAATAAATCAAAATAAATATAAGTTTTTAATGGCAGGAAAAAAAGAGTTTTGAAGGGCTACCTCCAGCCAGGTCTTTTCTCAGATTAGTCTTTTCCCCCATAACTTTTTCAAGAGCAATCTGCACAACAGTTGAAGATGCCAAAAGTTGCTTTAGCAGCAGAGTTGAATTCCCCCAAGTCTGTGTCTGCTCCATCACTGGTTTGTAAAATCTCTGCAAAACACCTTTGCCCAAAGTGCTGCTCCTCCTGCACAACAGCATCAAATAAAATACAAAAGAAAGAGAAGGAAAAAAAAAAAACCCCAACCAAAAAAGAAAGAAGGGAAAAAAAATCCACCTGGTTACATCGACTTCATCCCATTGGCAGTGGTGTTCTCCGAGATCCCGTCGCTCACAGCTGCTGAGTCGTGAAGACCAGAGTAATCCTTGAGTTCAGAGTTTGTCAGGAGCAGGGGCTGCTCCCCCTTCTTGTGTGGCAGGAGGGGCTGCCGGGTGTAATGTTCCCCGTCTGGGATGTTCTCGGGCAGGTTCTGGTTCTTGCTCTCTGGCAGCAACAGGATGCAGATGATGCAGATAAGCGTACAGCAGGCAAAGATGACATGGTGGAGGAAGTAGCCTTTCTGGTTGTGGAGCTCCATGATGGGGGCGGTCAGGCGGCCGAAGCCTGCGCTGGCCAAGACCAGCCCCAGCCCACCTCCCCTGCAAACACAGCAGAGGTGAGAGCCTGGCCCCGCATCCCCATCGGCACTGGGGTGGGGACCCCACAGCCCTGACAGGTCCCCCAGACTACCCCCCTGCCTGGCATGCGCCTGGGCATCCAAAATCTCCAAGTCAAATGGTTTGCTTACAGCTTTCATACTGCCTGGTTACTCCAGCAGGGACTTGCTTTGCTGTTGGTGATGACTGCTGCCTATTTGCCTCAGTGTGGGGAAATAACTACACTCACTTAAGTATCTATATACGTACATACTCAATGGCTGGACTCTGATGATCTCAGAGGTCTATTCCAACCTAATGATTCTATGATTCTATGATATTTTCACACCCATATGACTGCCCCCACATAAGGAGAAGAGCAGATTTATTATGTGAGTGTGTAGACTAAAGTATTCCCATTTCCAAGTATTCCCATATTCAATGAGGGAAAACCAGACTTTGCTTAGCGTGCCAGCCTTTTCCAGCTTAGACAAGACACACCAAGAAGCAATAGGTGCAGAAGTCAAATTTGGCTGCCTGTAAGGTATCTGTCATCAATCAACAGTGGAGGCAGGAAATTATAGACTTTACAAGCCACTGCCTCGATCCATTATACCAAATACTGAGTGCTGAAATATTTTCTCCATAAAAAAACATGTTGTGGCTAGAACCTCTCGACACACTGATGTTGTAATAAAATGCATAATTTTCAGAAACAAATTATAACATAGCTAGTGGTCAGAATAGGAGAACAAGAGTTTGGGCTTAATTTCCAAGACGTCCTCTTAACTCGCTGCAGAAGTTGAGGCAGGTCCCTCACTTCACTCTTTCTTGCTTTTCTTGTGTATTCTTGTATCACAGAAAGGTTACAAAAAAGTTAGCATTGGTGAAATGCTTAAATTATAAATAGGTAACTTTATAAAATATTCTTTATGGCAGAAATGCTTATTTGTTAAATGCAATGTGCCTTTAATAAATGCAGACCAAACAACAGTGAAAACACATTAAAGCTTAAAAAAAAAAAGTGTGGAAACAACCTCATCTTCCTCCAGTCACAAGCATGGAAGTTGCTTGTGCAAGCTGAATTCAGCACTCTCCTCTGATGCTCGGCCATGCAAGCAGCCTCTCTTGAAATTCCTTGTCTTTCTCATCAACATCTCTCCAGCTCCTGGAGCAGGCAGGCCCTGCTCACCTCCAGCCACCTCTTTTTGAGGCACAGTTCATGCTCCTGGGGCCTGTCCCTGCCAGGTAAGCCGGCACAGAAGCGGCACCGCAGGCGTTTCTCTGGGGCAGACCATTCCCTCCTCCTGCTGAGGTCTCCAGCCAATGGAGCGTCACCCTCAAGTGACTTGTTTTAGCAAAATCTCCGAGCGCAGCAGCTTGTCAGTCATTTTCCAAAGACCCCGCTGCCTGCAGAGGGAGGCCTCCCCATGAGCTTAATCGCTGGCACCCTGCTCCCCACTACCCCACCAAGCTCGCCCGGGCAGCACGCTTCCTGCGGCTCCTCCAGGAGATGCCATCTGTTCCCAAACCCTCTGGTGATCAGACTGACTCAGGTGCTTCTGTTCCTGGCCCAATGGCAGAGATGTAATTATTAACAACAGCCAGACTTTACAGAAGACAACTACAGAAGGCAAATGAACTGCTTTGCATCAACTACTTGGAAAAAAAATTTCATCAACTATTGAGAGTACCAGAAATCATAGCACTATAAAGCTACAAATGCCAAATTCACTCAGCCAACCACTGTGTTAATCTCCACCCAATCCTTTCCAAAATGCAATGCTGCTCACTTGACAGCTAAAGGGCAGCAAGTACAGGTTTCAAAAGATGCTCCTGGAACACTGATTGGATCAAAAATTCACATATGTACCTTCTAATTCTCCAGGCTCAGCAGAACATCTTTCACAGACAACAGTGATTTCCCCAAATACTGCAAAAGCCCTTATTAAAAACTTGCCAGCTTTCCGATGGCAATTTAGAAACCCAGCTGAATGCGCCCATTGTGCAATTGGCCTCCCTGCAACTTCATTAATACACTCACATGAGTAATCGACACAACCAGCCCTGAATGCATGGCAAATCACTTTCCAAGCTGGCTCTGGAGCAACAAAAGCCTGGTTCATTTACATCACTGTTTGCTACAGCTAAATTGTATCTCAACCCCTGAGAAGGACCTGAGGTGAGTTTTAAAAGCTGCTGTAGAAGGACATCAAGCAAGCTGAAAGGAAACAGGAAAAGGCAATAACAAAGACGGCTCTGTCATTACAGGTCAGGTGGCTTCAGATTTGGATAGGGAGAAAAGTTTTTCCATATGATGTCAGTAATTACAGCAGGTGTTACTTTATCCAGCGCCATCAAATCCTGGCAGAAATGGGCTTGAAAATACATTTTGGTATGTGTTCTGTAAGATTTTTAAAATGTTTGACTATACTGCAAAAACAAAAATGGGAAAAGAAAAAGAAAACTGAAAATACTGTAAGGAATTTTTTGTTGTTCACATGTACATCAGGAAAATGGGTACAGGGCAAGAGGCGGCACCCTCCTAATTCCCACTGTTTTTGCAGGTGTCATGGGGCAGCATGTGGAAATCAAAAACATTCAGGGTGTTTTGGGGCTCCTCCTCATTATGAGGTGTCCCAGGGCAGGAGGCCAGTGTCTGTACTTTGAACATGCTCCAAGGGGCAGAGCAGAGCTGAGGGAGGGAGCGCAAGGGCTGCTGGCACTCATGGCGAGCCCCAGCTCCTCCCTCGCACTTCTGTCTGGCAGCGGCTGCTGCAGGGGCTTTCCCACAGAAGAGGATCACCTGCAGGTGATCAGAGCCGCTTCCCCAGCGGCAGCCAGGCAGGATGGTTTGTGTGAGGCTTATGGTCCTGATGCGGGCAAAACGCAAAGGGATCTTGGTCCGAAAGTTTGTCCTCAAAAAGGGCCTCCATGTCCACAGGGGAGAATTTGCTTGTTCGCTACCACAGCGTTTTTTCAGAGAGCAGCAAAACATCCTCACTGATATCCTTTGCTCGAACCAGGCTAAACCTAAGAAAGGGGACTTGCCCTTCTCAGCACTGCTCAGGGGAGCAGAGAAATGTCGCTCCTGTCTTTGGATGGTCATTTATCTGTTTTGTGCAAACAGGTCGACACCCGGCACGGCTCAGAGTATAAAAGAGCCAGAGAGCTACTCAGGCTGGGGGAGACTTTGGGAGAACACCGATTTCAGCCTCCTGCACGAAGCGGGGCCAATACTGAATTCAGACCAGGATTTTAGAGCTTTGCCCAGGCAACCCAGACACTTCTTGAAGTCAGTCCCTGAAAACCTCCACGGTTTCCCCCTGCCTTTTCTGTACATAAGCAACCCTGTTGTGCATTCAGTCCTAGGCCAGAGCTTCAGTTACACACGAGGATGCCCTTGGCCTCATGGGGCAGGGCACCACCTTTGAAAAGCCAGGCCTGGTTCAGGTCCCAGTAAACAACACTGTATCCCACTGGAAATTTGGCTTGAGACAGCTATTGATGGGTAAAGCTCCTAATTTGGCCATTGCTGCCCACTCTTCATTTCTTTGGCCGGGTGGGTACAAAATCAGGACACAAGAGAGAAAAAGACAGATGTGTCTTCCACTTGGTAGTAACTGAGCATGCAGAGACGGGGACAGTACACACTATGCTTTTTCTCAGCTTTTCTCAGCCTATTCCTGTTTAGTAGCTGTGCAGACTGCAGTGGTGTTCCCCTCAAGACTATTAGAAATGGATTATCAGCACCATTTAGTGCTTAAATTCAGTATGTGGAAGGAGCTCTGTACTGAAGCCCCAGCTACAAGGAACAGGAGCTGCTGGTAAAGCCCTCCTGCCCAGCACCAGGAGACCGGGATATAGTGCAAGGGTACAAACGACTCCTCTGTGCCCTGTGACAGTGTGGGACCTTTGTGTTTCCGAAGCAGGCAGCACCTCTTGGTGATGAAGATGGCTGTTTTCCTCCTACACTGCTGTAACCATTCATCTCAACCCCACAGCGGTGGAGCTGGACAAGTGTTACGGCTTCACTATCATGCCACTGCTCCCTGACAAAGGCGGTGCTGTTTTCCTCCTCCAGGGATGGGGGATTACAGGTAAAGGATTTGATCAGGGAAACTCCAGGGACAACACTAGTATTCCCTCTGCCTCCCTTGTCCTTAAGGTTCTCCGAGAGTCAACCAAAAGCATATTAAGATCATCTGAAATACTAAAGGGCATCCGAGGCAGTATTTTGGAGAACAGGTTTGAGGGAGCAGCCAGATCCCACTGAAATGCAAGACACAAGGCAGCTTAACCACACCTCTGCCTGGGACAGGTTTGTGCACTGTCCTGAGCTCCACCTCCTAATTACAGCCCTGAGTGCACCTTATCAAGAGCTTCACGGTGGTAGGATCGCAAAGTGCGGCAGAGTGTCATCATTCCTATTAATAAATGGGGACCCTGTGGCATATCCATCTATTGTCACTCGCCTGGTGTCACCCAGAAGAATCAGGGGAAGCAGAATTTCAGCTCCCAGCCAGGATTTTGTCCCTTTCTCTGTAAAAACATAAGTGATTTAAGGAAGAAAGCTTGCTAAGTTCATGCTGCGCATCTGACCCTACTTGGTAGATTCTTTTCTGGTTGACGTGGACAATTCCTTATCTGTGTCTTTCAAACAGAGACAAGGAGAAGATTAAAGAGGCATAAAAACACCAAACTGACATGCACATAAAGTAAATAGCTGTTAGGGTTTTGGGCTGCTGTATAATCTCCTCGCCACTCACACTGCCTTTCCCTGTGGAAATAATGTTATCTGTAAAATACATTCACAAAGTCAGATAGCTTGGAAGAAAAGGCCATGGATCAAGGAGACTGTGGCTACTCAGCTGACAGTTTTGCTACAACACTTTTGCAAAGTTATTGAAAATGCATATAATTTGGAGAAAAAAAAAAAAAAAAAAAAAAAAAGAGTATCCTCTTCCCTCCACCCTCTCTCCCTCTCATCCATATGACCTACATTCCTGGAAAATTCAATGGAGTCAGGGTGGACTCCTGAATTGCTGTGGCATTGCTGAAGGCATAATCCAGAAAACAAAAGCACAACCTTTGTGCTGCAAAAGATAACAGTGAATATGTAAAATGGTACAAAAACGTGACTATACAAAGACATTTTATGGGAAGCTCTCCAGCAAAGGTCATCTGCCTGACTTCTACTGTTGCCCAGGATGAAAGCGCTCCTCTTTAAAGAAACTTTGAGCCTCTGCTAAGGTAGATCTGGGTGCGAAGAGAAAGATTACTTTATCTGCAATAAAGGCAGACCACTCACACTGCTGCTGCTGCTGTAGGAGCGGCAGACTTGCAGAGCATTTATAAGCACCAAAAGCACTTAACACTGTGTGTTGCAACACCTCCTTTCCACCAAAGCACCCCTATAGCTGGCCTGATCAACGTGCCCTATGGAGGCAGGGATTGCCTGCACCTATGTCCTCCTCTGCATGCTTGTGGAATTTCTCTTTCAATATCAAGCCATAGACTCACATGGTCACTGCCTGCACAAACCCAGCAAAGTAAGCGAAGCAATAACATGGTTCAATCGCACACATGGTTCAATCGCACGACCTGGTTCGGCTAAGTATCTAAGATCGTACTGCACTGCAAACGAACGCAGTTCGTGTGATGCCTGGCCTGCTGATAAGCACCACGATAGGACACAAGGTGGAGCCACTGGAAACAAAGCCTCTGTCTACAGACGGGCATTTACTTAGGCAGACTGACTGCAGCGACATTAAATCAGTGGCCTAAAAATTGCTGCGAGGTCTCCAATTACGGGGGATTTCCCCTCCCATACAATGTGTTACACTACAAAGCCAGTTATCAATTAAATGAGGATAATTTTGTCCCCATCCTTTGAAGAGAGGGGCTCCAATGTCTCACCTGATTACTGTGGGTGTGATTTCAGCACAGAAGAACACGCTGAGGCTTCCAACAGCATGCGAAGAAAACATACCCACGATGGAAAACGCGGTAGAGAATTTGTCTTTGACACTGTCACTCATACCTGCCAAGATAAGCGTGTTCATAAAAAGTGAGAATGAGGCCAAACTTCCAAGGAAGAAAACAAGAAAAACACGTTTATGTTACTCACTCTCCCTAGACAAGAATTTGAGTCATTTTTGTAATACTAATTTAAAGCTGGTATTTATAAAATCCATCCCCATGCACCTGAGACACAAACACACGTCAAAAAGAATCATAATATCATACCAAAAATGGCAGCAATCTCTGAATTATTTATACCCAGCCACCACAAAAAGGTAAAACTCAAGAAAAAAACACATCTTTGGGCAGTCTTTTAGGCACCAGCCACTTCCCTCCCACGTTTGACAGACAAACAGAGGCAGGCAGCATTCATGAGGCTGCTAAACATCTGGTACAGCTCGGTGGCTTAGGCACTGGAGAGGCTCACAGGACAAGAGGGGAAAGAAATAAAAGTACTCCCATCTCCGTGCTAAGCCCCTGCACATGATGGGTCTGCAAACTCTGTCGTAACCCCCAGCTTGACAGCCTTCGCCTGACAACTCTGGGTGAGAAAAGCTGATGCCAAGGACAGTGAGGTCACCCAGCAAGGCTGTTTGCTCAATCATTTCATGGCTGGATAGCAGCAAGGTTTCCAGGAGTGAACAGTGTCTATCAAGCACAGGGAGAAACTCCAGTAAATCTAAACAAAGCTAAAGGAAACTGTCTCCTGGCCACAATGACGATACATCCCTCACTTGATTCCCATGGGGCAGGGGTGGGATATCTGATCCAGAGTCGTACAAACTCATGTAGTCCATCCTGGCCAGCGAGGAGGCCACACTGTTCGCAGAGACTATCATGCCATATGAGGGGAACACATCGTGCCTGACAGTAGCTGGGGAAAGGACTGGAGCTTTGCAGCCAACACCCCCACCTTCCTCCAGCCAAGTTGCAAGATCTGCCTGGAGAAAGGGCTGCTCATCAGCATGCACTGCCAAGCAGGTGTTCTCTCTGGGTTGGATCCAATGAAAGGTAACACCTGCTTTTGTTCTTGCTGAGTATATCAGCTCTTAGGAGAGCAAAAGATACTCCGGAGCTCTTAGGTTACAGCTTCTGAAATGTGCTACAGCCTCCTCAGGGTTGAGCCCTTTCTGCAGTGCACGCCAAATCTGGGGGAGAGAGCAAATACTGCCAGCAGGTAAGGACATGAGCATGGCATCTTGCAAACTATGGGTCTCTGAGGGTCCTTGGCAACTCTTGCATAGCAGGTGAGGCTGCACCCACTGGCCCCACAGGGAGTCGTGACTGTTCAGCACAACAGACCTTGGAAAAGCTGGGTAAGGACAGGTCCATTAAATCAAATACAGAAGAGTAAGTCTTGTTCCCCTATAGCCTGTCACTGCATTGCTATTGCAGTACTTCAGACTGGGCTAATGCATCTGGGGGAAGTATTTTTCTAAGGTGCCTAAGTTGCATAATTGGAAGGGACTTAGGCATCTCAGATCTTTCTGGAAACGACCAAACTGGGAATGTTGCTTCTGAGGAGACTTTCTGAGAAAACCTTGCCCCATGTCTAAAAACAAACCTTGAGGGACCTCTGCACCCTCTCTTGACATGCAGAGGCGAGTCAGATTATGTGTAGGGGACGCTACACTGAGAGACTGCATATAAACAAAGAGGCCTGCCTATGAGCAGTGTCCCAAGGCACTGCATAGAAGCGTGCTTTTCCCCTGCACCCCTCTGTGGTAGCAGCTTTGCCCTGGGTGCCCCGCCAGGGCCTTTTGGATCCACCCGTTCCCGGGGGAGCGCTTCCTGCACGATGCAGACTTGTCTGTAAACCATACCTGAGTCTGGAAGTTGACTGTATTTTCCGATCACTGGATCCAAGACCACAGAAGTCAGAGGAAGACAAAGAAAGAAAGGGAGAGAAAACAAGAACATACTGGTTTTAGATATTTATTTATCCAAAGGAAAAGGAAAAAAAAGAAGGCAAATCCCACATGCCACCCTCGCCCCCCATACACTTCTCTTTTCCTGTGCCATGACTGGCATATCTTCCCATGGCCACCAGATAGGACATGCTGTTTCCAGGCCCCTTTCAGCTGGAGGCCAGCATGCTAATGAGTCAGTGATAACAAACGGAACAGTAAAGCATTTTTTAAAGCCCCAGAATTACCACTGGGATTAATACAAAGGCCTCTTTGTTGTTAACGAAGGGGGAGAATAGAAACTGCCCTCATGCTGCAGCCCTGAGGGAATGGCCAACAGAAGCTTTAGTTAGAGAGCAAAACTCTGGACATCAGCACTGTCACACTGATGGGAGACCTATTCCTTGCCAAAACGCTGAGCCGGTGGTCCATGGGCCGTGCTAACCACCAGCTGCCATGCATCCTAACCACAAAGGAGTGCATGGCAGTACTGGGCAGCAAGGGGAAGGGCAGTGGTGTGAGCTGGGCACAGGTGACAGTCCAGGGTCCGGAGGAAAGGCTGAACACGTCAAGACTCAAGATCCGCTGCAGGTTTGCTGCTGATGGAGAATAGCCCTCTCCCTCTCTCACCCTCCTTCTCAAATTCTGATTTCATTTGCTAATTACACCCAAATTACGCTAAGCTAAAACATGCAGGAGGCTGTAACAGATTTCATAATCAGCACGGTCACTGCTTCTCTCCAAACACTGTCTAAGCTCTTCTGAGGAAGAAGGGAGGCATGGTCTAGAGCAGGGGGAAACAAGCTGCTCTGAAGTTCAAGGCTACCTTTCCGTCCTTTTCTCACAAAGAAAGGGGCGAGGTCAGAGCAGGGAAGGCTGACAGGCACACAGCATTGAGAGAAGTCTAGGTGCCAATGCAGCAGCAAGCACCTAGAGCCCATGGCTGCTCTTAGTTTTACTAACTTCACTCACAAAACCACCCAAACCTGTTATGGAAAAGGTTGTAATGATTCCTACAGGGTGTTCCTCCCCACATCCCTCACCCCTTTTTGTTGTTGGAAAAGCTGCAATCATATTTTCATGGCTCTGGAGCAGATTTTCATGGCTCTGGCATATTTTTTTTCCACTAAGTAACTGCATGTTTATTACTTCAACAACCTCAACAAACATCTAATGTCCTTAAAAAAAATATTAGACATATCTAGTGTAGAGAGACCTTGATGGACACCACCACAAGAACGTGGAGTTTGGGGAGATTGCACACACACAGCGCGCGTCTGCACGTGAATGATCGCAGCCGTCAATGGGCTGGAGATGAGATGGGATAGCTGGACACGGTAAGCTTGTGCTCAAACGGAATGTAAACATCTGTGCCAAGCTGGGAGCAAACACATGCAATTCTGGAGTTTCCTTCATATCATGAAAGAGGTTCTCTGTTTCCCTCCTACACTCCCACAAATAGCATGTTCATTAAAGATTAACTTAGTAAACACTTTCAGGAAACAGTCTGTAAATATGGACAATTCTTCCTGGCTTGGGGCTGCCTTCAGCATGCGGGAATGCAAAATCTTTCCATCCTCAATGCAGAAAACCTCTTTCTCATTAAAGCCCTTAATTATTTCTAAACTTAGAAATGAAGAACTGCAACAACAGTGTTACGGTGTTCATCTCATAGCTGGTTTATCCAAAGCATGTCTCAAGACTCTTCTGCCTTCCTTGGGGTGAGGTTTCATGGGACAGGGATCTAATGATTGGCAACTGTAAGAGTGGCTAAGCACATCTCCCCATCCCCTCTGCTTCAACACCTCTCTGATCCATCATGTTTAACTTCTTCAACCAACAGAAAATTGAGACAGGGAAATAAAATCAAAAAAAGGAAAGGGACTATTTCTGTAGCAGTTTTAATAGTTGAAGCAGCTCAAAAGGGCCAGAGAAAGGACACTGTCTGCAAAGGAACAGGTGGCACACTCTTGCTTTCATCAAGAACAACCCATTTGAAAAGCAGTCACGTGTATACGTTCACATGGACTATACGTACACAACATGCTAAAAGCAGCATGTCTCAGCTGTGTATTTCCATGCTTACCTGTAGCAAGATGCTCAGAGCAGGCAGAGGACACGCACTTATTCCTTTAACTTCTGCTTGTTTACAGGCTATTCAAGAAGCAGACTGAAGTGGGAAAGTTTTCCCTTCCCAACCCCTACCCAGCTCTTTCCCCAGAGGGTATTTCACTGAAACAAAATTAAAAGTGTTTTTTGCTTGTTTCTTTTTAAGTGACAGCCCTATAAGCAGCCCCAATGCTCAACGAGCTTTGCCACAGGGACTCATCCAGAACATAATGGATGTTCTGAACCTTTGTTAATGAACCTAAGACAACAAGTGTTTGGGAAATCCTTCAGATGAATTCAGCTTCTTAAACTAAGCAGGTGTATGGCATGTCAAATCTGAGAAAGGCAAAGGAAACACTCATATTCCCTGGTGCCTTATTTGCATGTCAAACTTGTATGGTCCTGAAAAGCTTTCATCTCCAACTTACAGTTGAGAAGGCCCAGCTGCAGAAGCGATGCCAGGGCTGTAAGGATCATGAAAAGCAGGAGTCCTCCTCTCCTCCCCAGAAACCCAACCACCGGGCACATAGCCAGGCAGGATGCCAGCGCAATCCCAGCCATGGTGTAGTAGTCCGCATAGAAGTTGTGGGTAATTGCCATCTTCGCTTCGTGCCCCATCATGCTTTTCGCAAAACAGTGGTGTATGCCATAACCAGTCAGCCTAGGGGAAACAGGAGATCATTGCTGAGAAAGCAGCCACACACTGCAACGTAATTCAATGTAGGAATACATTAATGCAGGAAGAATTTATTCTGCTGCAGGAATACACCACCTGGTGCTAAAAGACTCAACTCGGACTTCGAGGTGCTACTGTAAAAATCAGCAATGATGAAAAGAAAAGAAACCCCCCTATTCAAGCAGATACATGCAATCTACTGGCCTCATTTGCTGCTGAAGATCACTGTACAAGCAACTTCATAAGGAGTCTCCTAGTGCTTAACACTGGTTTTCCCAATGTATTTCAGAACCCCTATCTCAAGAAGGAAATCTCTCTGTTCCCAGTGCATCTGTTGATTCTGCAAAGCAGCAGCTTGTGTGCTTGGACAGCAAAACACTATGCAATACAGATGTGTCTTTCAGGAAGACCTGCCTGTCTGTGGGATTTGGTCGTACTAAAGATTGCATCTCACTTTCCAAGCTAGCCTGTTACTGAAAACCCCTTAGAAAGGACTATTTGAAGTCACACATGCTGCAATGATTATTACACTTATGAACCAATAGGCCCTAATTCAGTCTACACATTTACACCACCCTCATAGCAATGTGTCTTCTTCTTTTATAAGTTTCTTCATGATGCTAGTGATCAACATCTTGCCACTCCATTTCATTCCTCTTTCTTCTGTTTCCCCCTGCCCCAAGAAAAGAAAAAAAGAAGAAAAAGGAAGAAAAATGAAGAAAAAAGAAGAAAAAAGAAGAAAAAAACAAGAAAAAAAAAAAAAAAAAAAAAGCAGGGGTCTGGAGGAACAAGAGTCAGATGAGAAGCCCCAGCATCACCCCTGGCACGGCACAAAGCTGCAGCAGAGCTGCTACAGGAGGTCACTGCTTCCAGCTGCCCCCATTGCAGCACAAATACCCCTGCCAGCAAGGGCCTCCTGTCCCTGGCATTTAGATCAGACAAACCTCGTGTCACAAATTAATTGTGCCTGACAGAGTGGCAGACATAGATGAAGGTCTCCAAAAAATGTCTGGCAGGTACATTACACTAATACACCTCTAGCCTCCTGAACATCAGGAATTTGAAGCACTGTGAGTGTAAACTGGATATTAATACAAGCACGGAAACAGTTTGGGGAAGATGCAATTGCTGAGTGTGTGACAGCCCAGGGCTTCGGGAATTTCTCTTGCAATCTTGTGAATTGATGCTATAGTTCAAATATACACCCTCAATATCAAACACCTTTGTCTCTAAAAAAACCCAGCACAAGTACTTGCTGTTATACAAGAATGTAATTTGCTTTGGCTATCTAGATTATAATGGACTCTTCCCATAAGTGAAATATTAATCAATAAAACAATATTTAATAAGAGGGCAGAGTTAAACAGTGTGTATTTTCACTTTCTCTTCTGTGCATGCAAACACACCTGCTGAAGTTGTTATTTAGGCCATGACCTATAAGCTAAATTAATCTATTATCTGCACTTTGCTTTCCAGCCTGCTTCCCCAGGAATTACTCTACTATCTTAACTTGCTGAGCAGCTCTGAACAGTTGCTTTTAAAACTAAATACATTTATCTCCCTCGATGTCTCATAATTCTCTGCAAAAGGTTCCTTCTCCATGTTCCACGCTGCAAAAATTTAGCACATCCTCATTTAACGGGAATAACAGAATTAAAATTCAGTAGGTCTTTTTTCCACCCCCAAAAAACAAACACGAAAGCTATTTCCTCAAACACACATCTGTTTCATGCGCTACTTGGATGGCAAACAGCCTCCATGCGCTATTGCCAGAAGTCACTCTTTGGGCTGCCTAGTTCTGGTTTAGGGAATTTCCAAACGCGTGTGATTAAAAAGGGAGGGAGAAGGGGAGAATTCCCCACATAAACATTTTTTGTGAATACAGTCAACATTGGCTATTAAATCTGCCAGCTTAGCCTACGAGGAAAATTCTGTTTAAGCACAGGGGAAGTCACCCACTGGTAGGTGGGAGAGACACATAAAAATCATAAACCCAGAATTTTTTCTGCAACCGATAACGCTGGAGACCAACCCCTGAAGTTATGACCGATCCATGAGCCCGTTAACAGGAGTGAAGGCTGCAGAGTAGTGCCCTGACAAAGAAAAAGTCACGAGAGCACTATGTATTTCTAAACAGAGCAGAGGATGAGGGATTTCCAGTCTTCTCCCCATCTCCCATTTGAAAAAAAAAAAAAAAAAAATCACAAAAGGAATTCGAATGGGCATTTTACAGGATCAGAAAATTAGAAAATCCACTGCCCTCCCAGAAGCTGGGTTTGGTTATAGGATAAATTTGCAGCTCATCCATTTCCTCTTTACAAGGTGCTCAATTCTGGATGGAAGGTCTCAGAGCCTGTAACCTGCAAAACCCTCAGGCAGATGCCTGGTTTTGCCCACGTAAGCATGTGCAAGATGAAGCCTTAGGATGCAGGCAACCCATTGCTCTGTGTGAGGCCGCACATTCTCATGGTGTGGCCCGTACATGATTTGGGAGAGCTGAAGCACTTTGCAAGCTGCTTTTGAAGACCTATTGAGGACAGCTGTTATACAAGGGAGCAGGCTTGTGTTCACTGGCAAGTACCATCTTCCTCTGCAACACAGCTATATCAGATGTAAACACCTTGAACTTGCGCTCCTGTGGCATTCACGATTACAAAAGTCCCACCTAGGATGTCAGCAGCAGATGTCTGCATGCGTGAGCACGTACCAGCATGTGGCCGTGAGAGACTACCGGTGATAGCAATGCACTTGCAGCGTTGACACCTGAAAAGAGACATGGTGCTGCTCCCTGAAACAGCCAATGAGTTCCTCCACGTTTGCCATAAAAAATAATTCCCTGCAACAGCTGGTGTTTTTCCAGGATCATCTATCAGAGACACTAGGAAAGGGTCCCACATGAGGAAACAGAGGAGCTCCTCCACCATTTCGCATTACTGCTTCCAGTTCACCAACCACATAACTATATAAAGAGAAGGAGATGGGACTTACGAGTTCACACACAAAACGACGATGTTTTTCCACAGGTTCCTGGTTCCGACCACTTTAACAATGCAGACTTTCTTCGGTCTCCTGGCGATCTCTTTTTCTAGCTCTGAAAAAAACCAAACCAAGATTATTCTTTCACTGGGGAGAATGAGGAGGAGAAGCTTCACTTGTGAACTACAGATATTCTGAGGAATGTTCTGGAGAGCAGGAAAGTATTGATTTCACTAACAGCAGCTATAACACTGCTAAACAACCTGCCTGAGGTCCAGCTCAGATTCCTCCTTTTCTTCCAGGCTTCCCTTAACTGCCCAAGAACTCCTTCACATCCCAAACCTTCTCCTGGTTTAAAATGTGTATGTAAAATGAGGGCAGTACGGAGTTTGATTCCAGCAAGCATGATATAAGATTTCCTGAAGCACTTCAGGACTCTTAATTTTTAACCCCTCTCTGCAGGCAGGGCTATGCTTGTGCAGTTACAAGACCTGCTGCCTTTCTGCAATGCACACCTGAAAAGCCATGGAAAGGACTGGAGCGCAAACTCATTTTTAGTGGGATTCTTTTGAGGTTTCTTCAAATCCAGGTTTCAGAAGGAATATCCCAAATATCATTAGATTAGAGCTTGAACACCTACCTAAGCATGCCAAAAAACCAACTGTTTCCAAGCTACCGGATCAGTAAGACAGCTACAAAGGCATAAAGTCCAGTAAAAACGAAAGAAGCTGTAACTATGAAGAAGCATGATATGATGCACTCCAAGATGTATGGACTAGGACTGTTTTTTAGGGCAAAGACTTGTACTGCTGTTTTCTAGACTGACTGCATTTAAAGGCATCTGTGTCCCCGTTTTGGACTGTGCGTGCGTTCCCTTCACGCATACGCAATTAGCCTGTGTGTCCTCAGTTGTCCGCACTGGCCCGCCCTGACCCCTGCCTTACTCCCCTGAATAGGAATGTCTTTAAGACATGTGGGACAGGGAAAAATGAAAGCAAGCCATGGGGTAAAAAAAAAAAAAAAAATCAAAATCACTGGAATTTACAAATAAAACAAAAGACAGGTTTGTCTGCTGTTATTTGAAAAATGTATCATAAAAACAATAAATCAAAGAAACAGTATTTATATGCAAATAGTTGAGCTATTGACTGCTTATGGGTCACTCCTGGTCTTCTATCTAGAGTAACTGCAGGGAACACTTCTGAGAAAAGCAGCAAAGTGTATTTCGTATTAATGGTTGTACTCACTCAGAATATTGCCATGCTACTTTCCTTACTACCTGATAATACCCATTTCTCCCCAGAATCTATGCAGCATGAAGCTCACAAAAGCATAAAAATAGAGGTAGAGCAAAAGAGGAAATTGGTCAAATTAGTATTTGTACTACAGGAGCACTCAGCAGGCTCAGCAATGGATCAGGGCTATATTAAAAAAATGAGCAGTAAAAAAGGTGGTACCTAATCTCAAAGAGCAAAGTCAAAATTATTTTTGTAGTAAGATTCTGGAAAGGAGTGAGTGGGAATAAAATAACGCAGAACAACTGAAGCAGTTAGTTAAAACGCAGTTATAAAGCCTATATGATCCCAAGCCAAACTTTCTACAGTGAAAGTCAAAGCAAGCACTAGAAGAAACACAGGGTTTTGAAAAGTTGTTGATGATTCTTTACTATTTCAGCTGAAGGGCAACAATGAAAATCACCACCCAAACAACACACATTGCAAAGATTTCATGTGGACATAAGGGTTCATGCTCAAGCTGTCTAAGAATGACCAGATCTGGCCTGTCAAAGCAAACGATCCCATCTGTCAGCAGAAGACAGTCCTTGATGCCATGTTCTTTGGATTCTCTTAATTTGTGGTTTTTTGTTTCTCAAAGCAATTTTTACTTTTTTCTTTCAGAAGAGAAAGTAGATTTTACTGGCAATACATGCTTTACTGAGCCACAGCTTAATAAAATTAGGAGAAGCAACACTTTGTTATACTTCTCTTTGGAGCCAAACGTTATTTTGCCCTTTGCTCCTGCTTTGTTCGTACATTAAGGGTTGCTAAAAGCCATATGCTCTTTATTTATTGTCACACATCCTTCTCATGTTCACTCAGGCCCCCTTTTATCCTTTCTTATAAATCAGTCCTTCCAAACTAATTCTTGTTGGTGTTTTTCACTGAACTGCTGATCTACCATCAAGTAACAGGTAGCCCGTGGGTTATACGAACTGACACCACCTCCTCTGCTTCAGTCGCAGGGAGGATCACACACAAGGTGGAGTTGACCCCTTCTCTACCCTGCCTCATGCAGCAGTCTCCCTTCAGTGAACCCTTGCTTTTGCTCTGATGGGGGTTGTATTCTATAGATACACAGCATCATTATATGAAAATGTCCCCAAAGAGATTCCACATATAGCTGCAGTACAAGGATTAAAGAAAGAAGGGGGGTGGGGTGGGGAAGAGAGAGAGAGTAAAAAAAGAGTATCTGCCTCAAACCTTACACCAAAGAATGCAAACAGCACCTGACCTTTTACTGAAAGCCATCTGGCTCTACAGCTAGTTACTCCTCCATCCCTCTATAATGTGTTAAAACTCTAAATCTAAGCCACCTGCTTCAGATGAATGACCCTCCCCAAGTCTCCAACACCATTTATCTTTCTGATGACTTTCTCCATCCTTTATTTCTATATACACAAGTCAGCCGTTCACCCAAAAAAACCACCTTACTGCAAAATCAATAATTTACAATAATCAAAATATCATTCAGATAGCAACAAATAAGCTATGTGATGTGCAAAAAAGTAATCAACTACAGAAATGGCTCTCATTTAAGCGGCCTGCTGTCTTTGGAGGTAGCCTGCTTGCACGGAAGGACCTGCTCTGACTGACTGTGATGGGCATCAGGAGAGCGACAGCTCTTAGGCTGTCTGGACTTCATAGGTCAATGTCAAGATCTTAAAAGAGAAGTCAAGCCAACGCCTATTAAAACCCCATGAAAGCAAACTACTGCTCTCTCAATTACTGCAATAACCCCAGGAAATCTCCCCCTACCCCTAACTTATTCTTTGACTTCGCACTGAAGTCAACAGTTCAGAAGGAATTTGCATTAAACGTTTCAGTTCTGACTGATTTACCAGAAGGGTGAGAGTGGAAAATAAAAAATATTTTTATCCATTTACTCAGAGGCCCCTTCTGAGTTTTCCCATACTCTGGACCCCACACACACTCTAGGCTTCCTTTTCAGGGACCCAGTAGGAAAACTGTCAACAAGCTAACTCTTTATATCTCAGTGGAAATTAAAACTATTCATTGGGAGACTAAAAGTCTCATGGGGAGGGGAACCCTACTAGCTTCCAGCTCCCAAGTCTGCTGAATTCTCACAGGATCCTCTGTTTCAGGAGCATTGCTTTCAAAATCAGAAAGTATCTTTAAAGCCTTCAAATGAAGCCACCCATCTCTGCATCACTTGTCAAAGACAAAATACACAAAGCTCAAATCAAGCTGCCGAAAAAGGATGTTCAAAATGACAAGTGTCCTGTGGTGATGGACTTCTACTGGATTATTCTGGCTGCTAAATGATACTGTCAGTAGCTCTTTGAACATGAAAAGAGCTATGGAAGCCCAGAACAGAGGCTCAGTCAATCCCCAGAGTATGACAGCTCTGCAGTAGAAGGCAGATCAGTCTGAAATGCAGAGCTGAAGCAAACTACTCTCAGCCATACTGACTTACCGGTACACAGGATTATTTATACCTTCCAGGATTTCTGTCTCCATGAACTCCTTTTGTGCTCATTTATTTATTTATTATATTATTATAATAAAATGGGGGACTAGCAGCCTGATACTGTGCATTTTTGAAAAGCCTAATAGTAAAGGACTATTGAAGGCTATCAAATCACATATAGAAATTACACGTTGGGTAAGGAGCTGACTGATGTGCAGACAGCAATAAGGGACAGGAAAATGGAAATCATAAGCAGATGGCAGGAGGTTAGCGGCTTGCGGTCACTTGTCTTATTCTCAAAAAGAAAAAAAAGAAATCTTGTTTAATAATCTCACTAGGGAGCTTGGCACAAACCTTAGAAATGTGCCAATGAAGTCTGCTGGTGACAAAGTGAGGCACTGCCAGCAGTACAGCACAGAAATGGGCCATTAGAGGGAACTGGATGAGCTTGAGACCTTGTGTGGCAAAAGCAAGTAAAAATGCAGAATACCAGGTGAGATACTCAGGGACTAATGGGAAATGTTTCTGCTGGAAGATAAGCTTTTAACAAATAATGTTTTGGACTTGGTTATATACTACTTGAACAAAAGTGACTATAAGGCACCAGTTTATTGTGTCCACGAGGTATTTGCAATTCAGACAAAGAAATACTGCTACTTTTTTACAATTCTGGTCATCAATATTTGAGAAACTAAAGCTTTGGCAAGCCTATATAGAAAAGGAGAGGAGACAGAGGAGAACTACTTCTCAGCAAAGGAATGGGGCTTCTGTCTGCTCACACAGCATGGGAAAAGGGAAAAAGACATTTAAAGTAAAGATAGTCACAGACAGGAGCAAACAGGAAAGGAAAAAAAGAGAAAGAACCTGGACGGCTTTTGTGTATTTGAATTGCATGCTAAAATGTACCCCAGTACGAGAGCAATTTGGAGTCTGGAATGGCTATTCAACAAAAGCACAGGACATAAATACTAACAGCATTTAAAATGAAGCTTCATGAGAGCAACTGTATAACTCAATGACTATAATAGCAAGCAACTGATTGCAATAATTTGTTTCAAACCCTTACTTCTAATTACATTCGAAAAAAGATAGGAAAAGCCAGACATAAGGTTGCCATTGCAATCTTCAATTACTCATATACATGATGATATAGCACTTAATTAATGATGACATTAGGTTTTTTGCCCCCCAAATGCTCACTGCAGTCAGCAAACGGGCAGCTATTAATGATGTCTCTAACTTTCCCATTCAACACGTGCCCCTCAGCCTTATTATCCAAACCTCCCAGTGAGTACAAAATCATAGGTTTCCTCAGAGACATTCCAACAGTCCTATCAGAATATTCATGTACTTCATAAATACCAATGAAGTAATCTCCACCACATTCTTGTAAGAGTAAGCACAAAG